GAGACGCGCGCTTGGGTGCAAGGTGTGCGCGAAAGCTCTCAGACCTACGGGTGACCGGAGCCGGGAGGAGGGGAGGAGGGGAGAGGGGGTGCGTTCAGGTGTTTTACCTAAAATCGCTATACGGGTGAATGATCCAGTAGCCGGCCGTCTGAACCCGCTCCTGCTCCTTCTCCACCGCTTTCTGCCGAACATCCGCAGGGAGAACTTATTGACTCCGGGCTGCATCATGGCCCCGAATTGCCTCTGCATGAACCCGTGTTGCCTGGACGCCGCCTCCAGGTCGTCGAAGCCCACCATGGCCTCGTCGCGCTCCCCCTTGAAGCCCACCGAGTTGCCGTGCTCCTTGGTGTTCTGGCCGCCCGCGCTGTTGTTCTTCTGGATGGAGTCCTGCCGCTGGAAGGCGTTATTCCCGGCCGCCTTGGAGAACGAGTTGGCTTTGTCCTCCATGGCTGCGCGCGCTTAGAGGCGGGGAAGGGAGGGGGGGCCCGGGGAGGTGGAAGGGGGCTCGAGCCGGAGAGGTGCCGCTCTCTCCCGGTGTCCTTCACAGTGCGTCGGCGCTGCCGCTGCTGCTGCTGCTGCTGCTGCTCCTCCTGCCGCAAACACCGGAGCCCGAGTGGCCGAGAGCCCTCCCCTGCTCGCTGGCTCAGCTTGCTTGGGTTACCGCCATCTACCGACGGGCCGAACTGTCCGCGCGTGCGACACACACAGCGCGCACGCGCACACACAGACACACGTACACACACGCGCGCTCGCACACGCAGACACGCGGCTCGTCTCACTGCGGTTTCAACCTGCACAAGCTCCAGCACCTTATTTGCATAATCATGATGGACAAGAGCCCCACTCCCCCCACTCCTCAATTAACACATGACACGTTCAATGAAGTTCATCAATCTCGTTAGCCTACAGGAGAAAAAAAAAATTGATTTACATTAAAAAAAAAAGTATCGACATTATTTGCACGCATGAAAAACATGTTTCACCGAAATGAATATTGCACAAAATAAAATCATATGAAACAACAATGTCAATATTTTGATGACTTTTTTTCAGCGTCAGAGATATTTGTTTTGAATTTGCACCGGTGTACAACAGCACTGCAACATTTTGACAAGATTTCACTCTAAATAACAGTCCAAAGTAAACTCCGACAGATTCTCTTGTGTTACTATATTCTGAAAATGTGCTCTAGAACATCACAATACATGAAATTTGTCAAATGTTATTTCAAAATTATGAAATAGTAAAAAAATAAATAAATAATAATAATAATAATAATAAAACCTATCAAAATATGTTAATCACAAAATATTGTCATGATTCATGTTCAGGTTATCATACATGTATAAATTCATTTTGCAGCAAGGGTGTTGCATGTTGTACAACAGCCACAACAGAGTATCAAAAGTATTCAAGGCTCTGATCAAAACTAATCCCTAAACCTTAAAAAAACTATTGGAACCAATTCAGGTCATTAAATTTTTTTTTTTTAAACTAATAAACCAAGACTGAAATATTTTCCTCCAAAACTGTAACAACAACAAAAAAAATACGAAAGGAACTTTAACAAATGTGTTTTAATAAGGTCAAGTGTGTTCAAGCATGCGTGTGCGTGTGTGAACGCATCCCCCGCGATATACTGGGATTCACGATACATTAATGTAAGAACGCATCACCTTTGACCTTCACGAATGACGTCGAGTCGCAGCAGCCGAGGCCGCCTGCCCCCGCAATGTAAAATCTATTAGTCGAAAGCACGCTAATGTTTCATGCTAACCGATAGGGCTGCGACGTTCAATCACACCGTATTCATGAGATACATTGGTTCTACGATGCGGGGATGTGTTGCGATTTGGTGGTAATTGCATGCAGTGGTAATAAATCAGTCGAATAAATTGCACTGGTGGTTCTTAACCCCCCCCAACCCACAGCCTGCATTTGGACGGGTAGGTGTTACTAATGTCTTTAATTAGAGGCTTGAGCGACAGCAATGACAGCACCTGCGTTGCCTGTGTAGCTCAGTAAAATGGCCGATAAGTCCGTCTTGATTCAACGCGTGTAAGTACTATGTCGGTCCTTCATGACGGACATCAAGTTTTTCAGATAGCTCAGCCGTATTTTTGTTTTGTTTTTTTTTGGGGGGGGGGGGGACGACAAGCAGTTTCCTGGTTTTTGTCGACTTGAAATACTCAGCGAAGCTAGCTATCGGAATATTCG